CGAGGGGCTGGCGGTCGGCATGGAGAGCAGCAACGTGGAGATCCTGCACGTGAGCAAGCCCGACAAGTACCAGCTGCACCTGCACGAGAGCTGCGTCCTGTCCCTCAAGTTCGCCTCCTGCGGTAGGGAGCCGGGCTGCGCTGCGCAGCCTGGGCGCGGGGCGGCCGTGTCGCCCTCGCACCAACTGCGTCTCCAGGGTTCCCCAGTGCTCGGGAAGCTCCCACCCCGGCACCGCGCTCTTTTCCCACAGGGAAGTGGTTTGTGAGCACGGGCAAGGACAACCTGCTCAACGCCTGGCGTACACCCTACGGCGCCAGCATCTTCCAGGTGAGGGGCCCGGGCAGGGGGAGGTGGCCCCGGTGGGAGGCTGCCCAGGCCTGGGCCCCATCAGCTCTCCCTCAAGAAAAAACTTTGTTCCACAAATCCCATCCACCACCTTCCTCACAGCCTCCTCTTAATGTTAGCCAGGGCCCCAAATCAAGGTGGGGGAGTCAGTGGCACCTTGTGGGCCCTGTCCCCACCTGCCCTTGCTCTCTGCAGTCCAAGGAATCTTCCTCCGTTCTCAGCTGTGATGTCTCCACCGACGACCAGTTCATCGTCACGGGCTCTGGGGACAAGAAGGCCACAGTCTACGAGGTCATTTACTGAGCGCGAGCGGTGGCAGCGGCGAGGCTTGATGCCCCCACAGATGCTGCCCCCAGGCAGGCGGACGGGCTCCGCGTGGCCGCAGGGTGCCCAAGGCCCGGGACACCACGGGGGACGGCACTGCCCAGCACCGTGGCTGGGTGCCTGGGGCTGCTGCTCGCCATGCGGCACCCAGGGACTTCCCTCTCTCCGTTTTGTTCTTTTGGGGTTTGTTTATTTCTAAAGCTGGAGTGGGGGGGAGGCAGGGGGCTTTTTTTTTAATGTAACATTTTGGGTTTTGGTTAAGGCTCCCAGAGAGGAAGGGCTCTGTCCTCACTCCCTTGTTGCCTTCTGAGCTGTATTTAATAATAAAAACGAACAAAATGCACAGCTGGGCTGCGTCCAGATGCACGTGGGGAAAGGGGGGGCTGGGGCCCTGCAGCAGCTCCTGCGTGGAGGGAGCTGCGGCAAGGCAGGAGGGGAAGATGGGGACAACCGTGCGAGCGGCAGCACCGGCCCTGCTGCTGGTCAAACACTCTGGGCGCAGGTTGGGACTGCAGCTGCAGGGGCTGTTCCCTGCGCTCGCCCTGTTTGCCTCCCCCAGAGCAGCTCCCTGCTGCAGGGGTGGCCGGGCAGAGGCAGACGCAGTGGCCGCGCAGCACCACGCCAGGCCCCGAGCGCGGCCACGCCGCGGGAGGAGCGCTCTGCAAAGGAAACGAGAGGGGAGCCACCAGCCTCAGCTTACGGGCCTGGCCCGAGGCCCCCCCCCCCTCGCTGCAGCCTCGTGCAAGCAGCCGGCAGCTGCCCCCGGAACCCGGCCAGCCGCCGCGTCCCGCCGGACACACACCACGCACTCTTTTGCTCCTTTTTATTAGTAAGGGATTGAAAACATTGTTAAATACATTTCTTTACTGCTGGGAGTTTACAGCTGTTTTGCAGCAGAAAATTGGTGTCATTAACTCAGTAGTGGTAGTGGGGGAGCAGCACCCGGCCCCAGCCTTTCCCGCGCGCTGGGGGCCTGGTCCCGCTCTGCCGGCTGGTCCTGCTCCTCGGGGTTGAGGATGGGCAGTCCTGGGGGTGCAAAGTCTCGGGGACCAGTGTCCACCCCATGTCCTTCCTCCCCCAACCCACTCCAGCATCCCAGACCCCAGAGTCTCCCAGGTCTCTCCAAACTCCTCTGTGCTAGCCTGAGACTGGGGTAGCAGGAAATCTGGGCCCTCTGGGTCCTTCTTACTGCTGGAAGGAGATAAATGGGCAGAGGGACTGGCTCCTGCAGCAGCACCAGCTGCTCCCCTGGCAGCGTTGGCACCGGGCTCCTCAGTACACCACCTCGTACACCGTGGCTTTCTTGTCACCGGAGCCCGTGACGATGAACTTGTCGTTGATGGAAATGTCACAGCTCAGCACCGATGAGGACTCTTTGGACTGGAAGTGAGAGAGGGGCTGAGGGCAGAGTGGGGCATAGGGACCTGCATGGACCAACGGTCCTCCATCCCCATGGACCAAGCATGTCCCAGACACCCTGCTTAGATGGGACTGGCCTCACCTGGAAGATGCTGGCGCCGTAGGGTGTACGCCAGGCGTTGAGCAGGTTGTCCTTGCCCGTGCTCACAAACCACTTCCCTGTGGGAAAAGAGCGCGGTGCCGGGGTGGGAGCTTCCCGAGCACTGGGGAACCCTGGAGACGCAGTTGGTGCGAGGGCGACACGGCCGCCCCGCGCCCAGGCTGCGCAGCGCAGCCCGGCTCCCTACCGCAGGAGGCGAACTTGAGGGACAGGACGCAGCTCTCGTGCAGGTGCAGCTGGTACTTGTCGGGCTTGCTCACGTGCAGGATCTCCACGTTGCTGCTCTCCATGCCGACCGCCAGCCACTCGCCCGTGGGGCAGTAGCCCAGGGAGAAGATCTGCGGGGAGCCCGCTGAGCGCCGGCACCGAGCGGCCCCGCGACGGCCCCGGCCCCGCTCCCGCTCCCTACCTGCGAGCTGAAGTCGTGCTGCTGCAGCTGCCGCCCTTCCCGCAGGTCCCAGCACCGCACCGTGTTGTCCAGCCCCCCCGTCCACAGCTTCGTGCCGTAGTTCGAGATGTCAATGCAGCTCGCGCCATCTGTGTGGCCTTGAAACTGCCTGGGAAAGAGGGGGCTGAGTGTGCAGCCATCAGAGCTATGCACCCCCAGCTCAGTGTAGCCCACGGCAGCACCTGGAGTGCTGGTGATCCTGCTGTGTCTCATGGCCCGACTGGAGCACATGGTTGGGAATAAAGGGAGCACCTTCACTGAGTCCTCCCCGCCGTCACCCCCATCTAAAATATGCCCCAAACAGGGCTGGAGAAGCAGTCGTCCCCTTTCTCTGGGCCCTGTTCCAGCTCTGCCCAGGGCTCACCTGACCATGGTCTGGTTCTGCAGGTCCCACACGACGATGTTGCCGTCGCTGCAGCACGAGAAGCAGACCTTGGCGTCGGGGCTGATGGCCAGCGCGTAGCAGGCGGGCGCGGAGGACGTGAGCTCGGCCTTGATGCGGGGCGTGGGGGCCGCCAGGTCCCAGATGGACAGCGTGCTGGCCTCCCCCCCCACGATGAGGCTGCGCCCATCGGGGAGCAGCTTGCACGAGCGGATGTAGTTGTCCCGGTTCTGCGTTAGGATTGCAGTGGAGAAGGAGCTGATCAGTGCCCAGGGCTTGGGAGACCATCAGCCTTTTCTCCCCATAGAGGTGAGAGGAGCCTCTATGCCTGCGCAGGGGAGCAGGACACAGTCTTCCTCCGCTCTCCCGCCTCACCAGGCAGTCGAGCTGCGCCACGGCCGTCTTGGCGCCCGGCTGCCCCACGTCCCACACCTTCACGCAGCCCTTGCCGCCCGTGTAGACGTGGTGTGTGGAGTTGCTGATGGTGACGGCGCAGACCACCTCGCCGTGGGTGAGCGTGTGGAGCTGCCGCGCGTGCCGCGGGATGCCGGAGCCGAGGAGCGCGTCGGGCGGGAAGGGCACGGGCTGCATCTGCCCGTCAGCGCTGACGTGGAAGGAGTAGGCGCTGGAAGGGGACAGACAGGAGGATGGAGAGAGCGCTGAGTGGAGCAGCCAGCTCCTCCCAGGAACCATTCTAGGGCTAGCCCTGCTCAGGGGGAATGCGACCAGCCATCTTCTTGTGGTCACCAAAGGCCAGGAACTGAAGCTCAAGTCTGTGAGTGCAGACTTGGACTCAGGGTGGCGAGAAGGTCCAGGCAGCCTGGCCATGCCCTGAGAAGGGCCGCAAGGAGCAGCCCCCTGCGCCGGGCACGGGTCTCTGGCCCTGCACCCTGCTGCTCTGGTCACACTTACGGTTTCCCTCCGGGGATGGTGGAGAGCGACGAGGAGATGGAGGAGGCCCTCAGGTGAGGGTGAGACTCAAAAGCCACCTGCACAGAGCAATGGGAGCACAGTGCGCCAAGGGCCACCCTGTCCCAGGGGGCATGAGGCCAGGACGTGCCTGTCCTCCCGCCCTGGGCAGGGCTCCGCGCTGTGAGGGACCCCGGGTGCCGCTTCCCCTGCCGCCAAGCACGGAGGAGTCCCAGAGCGCCGCACACCGACGGCACCCGCCGTCCCCTCGCAGCCCCATCCTGCGGCCCCACTCACCATGGGGGCCCGTCCGTACATCACAGTGCTGCTGACGTGTGGGGAGAGGGGCAGGCCCACGTAGACGCCGGGGGCGGCGAGCTCGCTGTGCGGCACCGTCCCGAAGGAGGCAGCGCAGGGGCTGGAGCTGCTCAGCGGGCTGCGCAGCGCTGGGCGAGGAGACACCGGCTCATGGACCAACCCCCCGGCACAAGAGCGACGCCGGGGAAAGGGCCCCGGCTGCCACCCAGCATCAGAGGAAGAGGTGGAGGAAGAGGGAGGCTTCTGCCAGGGCCCCGCAGCGCACGGGGCTGCGTGGAGGCGCCCAAGGAAAGGGTGCCCCCCCCGGCCAGGCTCACCAGCCCTGGCCCTTTCCAAGGCTGCTGCGAGCCCTGCACAAGCCCCAACTCCTGGCCCAGCCCTTCAGTCTGGGCTGGCCAAATTACCTGCGGTTGGTGGCTAAGTGGCTTTACCTCCAGGGCTTTGCTGGGTTATTGAAATCAATTCCAATTCAATTTTTGCTAAACCTCTGTAATTTTCCAGCCCTGACAAGGGCTTAGCTGCTCTAGCCCTGGCTCAATTTCTCCCTGTGCTCTCCTTTCACCTTCTGCCCATGGCCAAGCTGTTCCCACCTGCCTCCCCCAAAGTCTCTCAAGAAAACCGAGGCAAGGAAATGGAGGGGGTGCAACTGGCTCATGATTAGCCACAAGGATCCCTGATTTAGCTCCCACCACCCTCCTTGCTGCTTTCAAAATGATGCAGCCCTGTGTCACCAGGGTGTCACCTGGGATCTCTGCAGCACCCGCAGGATCCCCTCACCACGGGGATCCTCAGCGACTGGCCAGGAGCAGCATCCCGGCCTCCAGCACCCTGCGTGCTGGCAGAGGCACCGACACCTCCATCGCCCTGCACACGAGCTCCGAGAACAGCGCTATGCTGGAGTGCGGCGGCTCTGCACAGCTGCCTGTCTGCACGGGCGATGCCCCGGCCGGCGAGCAGAGCGCGCGCCTCCGTAGCCCCCGCGCTCACCGATCGTGTCCGTGGCGGGTGGCTTGGCGGGAGGCGGCCGGAGCTGGG